GTGAGGTTTGGAACCACTAACCCGGTTGTACACTTATCACCATGGTTGAGACCCGCCAAGGGACGATTACTACCCCTTATACCGCTGAGCAGCAAGCAAAGATGGCCGCCTTAGTGAAAGAGAACAGAGAGAGACAAAAGCGTGAAAAGCAGGCGAAGCTAAAGGCTATCGCAGACGCGCGGGCGACGAAGATGAAGGAAGTGGAGGAGGAGATGAAGAAGAAGGAGAAGGCTGCTGAAGAAGAAGCGGCAGCAGAAGAGGAAAAAGAAAGGATGAGGAATGAAAGCAGAGAAGGGAGCAGTGGCATGAAGAAGGACACAGGCGCTGAGATTGAGAAGAAGATCAGCGAGTGGGTTGCTAACTTATCGTTGGGGGAAGATGAAGAGGCGGAGTCATATGTGACTGAGGATGAGAAGGCCGCATTGGCCGCTGAGCTAGCAACCATGACGGATCCTATGGAGCGAAGAGAGAGGGAAGACGAGCAAAAGTTGCAGTGGAAGCTGAGAATGAAGAGGGAGAAGAGGAGGAGGAGAGAAGAAGTGAATAAGATGACCGCAGCAGTAGCGAAGGTGCAGGAATGTAGAGCGGAGGTATTGGCCCAGCCAGATGATAAGGCCAAGTGTTGAGCAAGGCCTGGATGGAGGAGCGCCAGGCTAGTTGGAGTCAGGATGTAGCATTGAGTGCCATGCGGTCAGGATTTAGGAAGTTTGCGCGCGAGATCGTCACCCACATTGGGGGCGAAGTGAAACAGTTGAGGGACAACGTAGGGAAGTATTGCGAAGGCGCCATTGAGGGTGCCAAAGCCATAGCTGCTGCAGAGGGCGAAGGTAGACCCCGCAAAGAGCCTGTAAAGCTCAAGTTTCCAGACGCGTACGGGGGAAAGAAGGAGGAAAACTTTGACAACTGGGAGGCCAGTGTCAACAATTATATCTATTTGCAGCATATCCTAACTGAGGAGCAAGTCCTCGTGGCCTTCCAAGCCCTCAAGGACGAAGCAGCTAGTTTCGCTAGGTCTCTTGCGCATACAGCCGGTTGTGAAAACAACCTGGTTGCGTATTCCAAAGTCACTCCTCTCTCCCAATTCCTCAAGCTCCTCAAGGAGCGGTTCGCTGACCCAACGCGAGGCATTAGAGCCTCTGATAAGCTCCAAACGATTCACTCTCGGCAGTGGAGGAGTGCTAAGGCACTTAAGGGTACTATGGATGACTTGGTAGCCGTCCCGGACCACGGGGTCACCGAGCCCTAGTTGGTCCAGTTGTTTTATCGTGCCATCCCAGAGGCCCTACGCGGGCATTTCTTTGACAAGTCTCAGTAGGCCGGCATCACATACGATCAATTGAGTAGGGAGGTCGTCCTGTATGAGTCAAAGTCTATGCCAGTTACCACTTTCTGGCATGAGGACCTGGAGAAGGGGAAGAAGTGGAAGAATCGTACTATCTCAGGCCAAGTAAAGGCCAAGGATCACATGATCCTGACGTTAGAGGAAGGTGGTACTGATGAGGTCCTGTATGATCAGATTGGGTGGGGCCTTGAAGATGATGGCAGTAGTGTGGGGAAGGGGAGGTCTTACGCTGCTGTTGCGGCTGGAGGGAGGACGCAAGGAGGAGGAGGCCAGGGCCAAAGGGGCCAGGCCATGGGAGGCCGAGGACCGGGCGCACAGGGGGTTGGCGGACAGGGAAACCGCCAAGCGGAAGGTAGGGGTCAAGGTTCCCCGTGAAATCGCCAGGGTAATCGGTCCCCACAACGAAGAGGTGGAAGAGCACCTCAAGGAGGTTGGCACCCAGGCTTGCCACAGGGCAGGCCCTGGGAAGACTTGGGCTTGGACCGACAATTATGGCAAGAACGCGTGAACATGGATCAGTGCGTATTCTGTGGTGACCCGGCCCACATTATCAAATTTTGTCCAAAGTATAGTCAGGCTCGTTGGGCTGCCCAGCAGTCAAAAGGCAGCCGCCAGTAGGGGTCACAACTGCCCCTACTTCAAGGCCATGTGAAGAAGTGAGCGCGCGCGAACAGGACACTCCCAACCCACATGAGCCTATGGCAGAGGTTGCAGGCCCGTGCCTAGATAGCTGTCGAGAGACTGCTTGTGTTAGCGTCTCTTTAGGCACGTCCCTCACAGGTGTGGCAGAAGAGTTAAAGGAGAGGATGCCAGCCTGGGCCAAAATGAAAAAGGAGAGTAAGGGACAACTGATCTTAGTAGATTTAGAGGTGTTTAGGAGTAGAGTAGGGGCCCTCATAGACTCAGGGGCTACCCGTAGTTATATTAGCCGTAGGGCGCTGAAGAAGCTGAGGCTAGGACTAAAGGTCCAGAAATTAGTAGACCCCATAGTCAGTGTCCTCGCAGACAACCGCACGATGCGMGTTGAGRACTATGTAGAGGGAGTCCAGGCGTACTTTCGCCTAGAGAAGGATGGGAAGGTGGAGAAAGTTCTCCATTCCCTGACTCTCCTCGTACAAGATGACCTTCCTTTTGATATAGTGTCGGGAATGGATTGGGGAGAGGCAGCAGGGGCCACACTTCATTTGAGAGAGCATGAGTGTAGGCTCCCTAGTCCGGCGGGCGAAGTTAAGACTGCCCGCTTGTTCCACGTGTCGAGTGTAGACAACACCTTGGCACATTGCTGTCTCAGTGCTCCCGCGTTCGCGCGATTAGTCAGAAAGGAGCAGTTAGAAGATCAGGTCTTTGTAGTTTATGTTAGACCTGTCACTAAAGGCCAGGAAAAGGATAGTTTCACAGATCCAACAATTGCCAAGCTGCTGGAAGAGTTCCAGGATTTGACCGAGTCGCTGACAGGAGTAGTGTCGCGACCCATCCAACACAGGATAGAGATAGAGCCTGGCAGTAGAACTCCTAAGGGTGCAGTCTACAGGATGTCCCCTAGAGAGTTAGAGGAGCTTCGCAAGCAGTTAGACGAACTCCTTGAGAAAGGTTGGATCAGGCCCAGTTCATCTCCTTTCAGAGCACCCGTTTTGTTTGTTCCCAAGAAGGAAGGAGAACTTCGTATATGTATAGACTATAGGGGTTTGAACGCGATCATAGTAAAGAACGTTGAGCCGCTGCCCAGGATAGACGATCTTTTAGATCGGGTACAGGGTTGTAAGTATTTCTCTAAGATAGATTTAAAGTCCGGATACCATCAGATAGAGGTTCATCCTGATGATCAGTACAAGATTGCGTTCCGGACTAGATATGGGCATTATGAATCTATAGTCATGCCCTTTGGACTAACCAACGCGCCAGCTACTTTTCAACGTTGTATGAATGACCTGTTTAGACCGTGGTTAGATAAATTTGTAGTAGTCTACTTAGATGATATCCTAGTCTTTAGTAAGACTCTTCAGGAGCACCAAGGTCATATGAGGTAGGTCTTGGGGAAGCTTAGAGAGGGTAACTTCAAGATCAATGCGAAGAAGTGCAAATGGGCCAAGACGCAAGTCCTGTACTTGGGCCACGTATTAGACGGAGATGGCATTAAGCCCGAGGACAACAAGATAACGGTGATTAGAGATTGGCCGACGCCCCGCACATTGACAGAGTTGCGGTAGTTCCTAGGCTTAGCTAACTACTATAGGAAGTTCGTAAGGAGCTTCTCTACTATTGCCGCTCCCTTGCGCAGGTTGCTGAAGAAAGAGGCAATCTGGCAATGGGACAAAGACTATACGTCTGCGCTCAAGAAGTTAAAGCGCGCGTTAATAGAATATCCTGTCCTCAAAGTAGCAGATCCGTCCTTGCCATTTGTGGTTACCACGGACGCAAGTCAGTATGGGATAGGCGCCGTGTTGCAGCAAGACGACGGCAATGGCTATAGACCCGTAGAGTTCATGTCAGCGAGGATGCCCTGTGAGAAGGTCGCTACCTCCACGTATGAGAGAGAACTCTACGCTCTCAGGCAGGCTTTGGACCATTGGAAGCACTATCTGCTTGGGAGGCACTTCAAAGTGTATTCCGACCACGAGACACTTCGTTGGTTAAAGACACAGGCCAAGATGACACCTAAGTTGACTAGGTGGGCCGCAGAAATAGACCAATTCGACTCTGAGCTCAAACCAGTGAAGGGCAAGTACAACGTAGTTGCGGATGATCTGAGTAGGAGATCAGACTACTTTGGAGCCGTAGTACACTATCTGGATATAGGGAGAGACCTGCAGGAGAAAGTGAGACAAGCGTATACGCAGGACCCTATCTATAGTGGCCTCCTAAAGAGAGTTAGAGAGGCCCCAGAGACCGAACCAGATTACCGCACTACAGACGGGTTGCTGTTTGAGAAGACTAATGTGTTTGATCGCCTGTGCATTCCCAACAGCGAAGAGATTCGTAGTCTGATTCTAGGGGAATGCCACGATACTTAAGGGCATTTCGGTTGGCAAAAGACATTAGCCAACCTGATGCGTGCGTATACCTGGCCAGGGATGAAGAATGACTGCATAGAGTATGTCCGCAGTTGTAAAGTGTGCGAGAGGAATAAGTCTACTACACGCGCGCCCCTCGGTCTTCTCAGACCCTTGCCTATTCCGGATCATCCAGGAGACTCAGTGTCTATAGACTTCATGGACACGCAAGTCAAGAGCAAACATGGTAAGAGCCAAGTCATGGTCATAGTTGATCGATTTAGTAAGTATGCAGTTTTTGTTCCTTTGCCTGCAAAGGCACGTACGGACCTAGTTATGCAGAAGTTTTTTGACTTTTGGGTTAGTGAGAATGGAATCCCATTGTCAATAGTTAGTGGTAGAGATAGTCGTTTTACCAGCCAGAACTAGCAAGAACTCATGAGAGTCTACGGATCTAAGTTGTTAATGTCGTCCGGCCGTCACCCAGAGACTAACGGTCARACAGAACAGATGAACAAGATCATACAGCAAGTTCTGCGCATGTACATTAGACCAGATCAGATTAACTGGGATGAGATGTTGCCCAAGGTCGATAGTGCATACAACAACAGCATGCATCTATCCACCTGCCGCACACCCAATGAGTTGCACAAGTCCTTTAGACCGCGCAGACTGTTCGAAGGACTGAACCGGGATCAGATTCACAGATTACCGCCCGGTACCAGGGAGTTTGCGATACAGCACGAAAAGGAGTTAGCCACTGTTGTTGAAAACCTTCGGAAGGCCCAACACAGAATGATAGAGCAGGCTAACAAGCACCGTCGCCCATCACAGTTTCAAGTAGGCGACTTAGTCTGGGTCAAGGCAAAAGAGTTTGCGCCGGAAGAAAACATCTCGCAGAAGTTACTGCCTGCATATAGAGGACCGTGGCCGGTTCTAGAAGTCAAGGGCGGAGAGGATGGACCGTCCTAYAGCATTGAGATTCCAGCACACCTCCACACATACCCTGTGTTTCATGCTTCAAAGCTGCTGCCGTGTATCACTAGTCAACAGTTCCCTTCCAGGAGATCCATGATCCAACCGGATATGGATGGGAGCTGAGGATGTGTTTAGGACAGGAGGTAGAGGTCGTCCCCAAAAACAGTATAAAGTCCGGTTTGCCTATCAGGAACCGGAAGACGACCGCTGGTTCACGAAAGCAGAACTTCTAGAGACTGCTCCCGACATAGTCAGAGCCTATGAGCGTGACAAGAAAGGTAAAGGTCCCGCCTAGACCTCACCCTACCCATGTACAGTATCTGTGTAGTCTCCGAGAATTGAACCTGTGACCTGTGCATTCGTAGGCAGTTGGTAGGCCTGTCGTAGGTCCATAGGCAGCAGGGGTTCGATCTGTAGGTCTATAGCGTAGAGTTCCGGAAGCTTAGCTGTAGACCTTCTAGAAGGTAGGCAAGTGGGCAAGTGGTCAAGTGGAGAGGCAAGTGGTGGACCAAACCGCAGCGCAACAGCAGTACAACGTCGGTAGGATAGCGGTGAGTCCACAGTCAGTCAGCGGAAGGTCCAGTCAGTCCCAGTCCGGTCCAGAAAGTACCACAGGGGGACTGTGAGCACCAAGGGCCGATGGCAAAGGGCAGACCAACGAGTTTCTGAAGTATAAATCAAGAGCCCAGCCATTCATTCATTCCTGCGTGAGCCATGCGGAAGCGCTGCCACAGCCACTTGTGCAAGGAGGTCTGCAGATGAGCCCGGAGGACGCAGTGGGCAAGAGAGAGGGAATTAGTCTAGCGATAGGTTAGATGCAGCGATAGCTGCCATAGCTGTAGTTAGTAGTGAGTGTGTGTGTGTGTTCGAGTGTTAGAGTGATGCGTGTGGGATATCCAGGGTGATCCAGTGTATGTGAACAGTGAGATGTTTGGGTGCTGAAGTCGCCTTAGCCAATTAAGAGTGAACTCGTGTCTGAAAGCCATTTCTCTGAGTTTTGAGTGGGCGCATGTCACCAGTATGCTGCGTTGCTGTTTACATGCATGAAAAGTGTGTTTGAGGACGAGTCTGATTGCAATCTGGTCTACAGGATGATATTGCAATTTGGTTTTCTTTTTTTTTTTTTTTTT